TGGGGGGGGGGGGGGGGGGGGGGTTGAGATCGGGGGACAGAGGCACCACGTGTGCCCCGAGCCCTACATAATACATAAAGTCGCGGGCGGCTGTGCGCGGCGCGCGAAAAAGCCGAGCGGGGACGAGGCTCGAATTTCCCGGGGACGGCCGCTGGAGGGGCTGCGGTCGTTGCCGAGATCAACCCCTCGGAACCCGAGACCGCCAACGCACTCGATCGCACGCGCTCAACGCGGCTGCGTGTCCGGCAGCTAAGCTCCGCGCGCCCAAAGTTTCGCGCACCCCCGCTCATCCTCGGGATGGACGTGCAGGCGGTCGGATGGCAGATGCCGAGTCTGCTCGCGGGTGCGCATCCCGCGCTTATGCAATTGCATACCAACAGTAACGAACTACATTCGTGGTTTCATTCTAGGAAGCCGTCTATGGACGAGGTCGGCAATCCGAATTCCGTCAACGCTCGGTGAGTACACTGACTTTTCACACTACTGACTTTTACGCTTTCTGTCGCACTCCACGTCCGCGTGTTGGCTTTCTCCTCATCACCCCCTCTCCACCTCACCGTCTGCACTTCCCCCTACCCATTCGACCCTCGCTGCATCGCCACTAGTTCACCGTTTCTCTAGATTATTTTATAGTTGGCAAACATTAATTATTATTAAGCCGCTGTGGTTAAGAAATCGATTTGTTAAAATGCCGTATAGCGGGCGCTGCGCATTATTACATGCACGCGCATTTCTCACGTGAGTTATAAAAAATTTCAATTGTGTGCAAACGATTTTTTACGCGATATACGCTGTTTAGGAAATGCTAACACACGGACTTTTGGAGATTAAACGCTCTTTTAATTTATGCGCTTACTCTGTCAGTCATTCCAGTTCTATCATTACCTCATTTTCTTTAGCTTCTGTTTCTCGTCTCCTTGCATTTATTTCCATTGGCTTTTTTTAATCGCACATTACTATCTGGTGACTGAAACATTTATACTTTGTAATAAATACGTAAAATAGTAAACTAGTTCTACGAGTCTCTGATGAAATTGAGCGGAACGGGATTTAAGATAAAAACAAAACTTCTTGAATGGCTACCGTCGCGCCACACATATTGTTCAACCAACGATATTTTATTTAGGAGAATTATTATTATTATGATTATTAATAATAATTTTTTTTTTTTTTTTTGTTTTATCATATGGCCGTCTCCGTCGAAATATCTATCCGTCAAATTGTCAAATTGTAAAAGTTGTGGGATTTTACGTTCGAGAGCGCGTCATTAATACGTTTGAGACAATATAATAAAAGTGCTATTATAATAACGTTCGAAATTTCGATGACTTTCTTTCTTTCATTGAAGCTTGGGAGCGTCAAAAATAATAATGATCTCCTATTTGGCTCATGTAATATCCATATTTAATAAATCTATTCGATACCTGCTAGAACTCGATTAGCAAAATTAACTTTAATGGACTGTACAATGTTATTCTGATTGTCACTCATTGATAATATAACTTGAACTTTTGTACTTTACTAACAAATATCGGCTACATTGATTCAATTCTAATAGGAGAAATTCTAATAGGAGAAGCTCGTTGTCGGATATGAATATTACATCTTCGTTTCGCTGGTTTCTAAAATATATTTATTTTTGCTAACGATGAACCACCGACACATGAACTCGTTAACATTCATATCCCAATTGGGACGCCTAGTACCTACTACCTCACGTACGTAAATAATATCGTCGAATTAATAATTCTATAAAACAGCATTAAGTTTTGTTTATTTATCTTAGATTAGAATTTTCGTAATTCACGAATGGCAACCAACGATGGAATGATTCATAGCTTATTATAGAGTAATTTATGAAATATTTAAAAATTCCATGAACGATGAAGATTAAAACTAAGCTGCTTAAAAGGTTATAAATAAATCGTAGGTTCGAATGACAAATGAGCACAGGAAGTCCAACTCAATGTTAATTGTCAATCTAAAGAGAATAAGCCCATATGATCGCAAACAAAGTCTCTAGTAAATAACAATATCACAAGTCTTATAAGCATTAGCATAAACTTTCCAGTAACAAATAATGTATTTTTTTTTTTCATTTCTTTTTTTTTTTTTTACCCCTCCCCTCCCCCCACTTGATACGCTCTTACGCCGTGACTCTTAGTTACCCACCATCACTCCCTCTTTATTCTCCCTTATACTTTTCTCGCAGCCAAGCGGCTCGTCTCCTCGCGTAATTTGCATCATTGAAAAACGACAAATTCTGATGAGCCAGAATGTAATGGGGGCTCCTTGGATATAACCGACGAGAGCAAGAAAATAGAGTATAAAATCGAGAAGAGACTCCTCGGAGCGCGCGCCCACAGCGAATCTTATCGGTCGCGATCGCATCTACCCCTCGACCCTTACAGCTTTCCCGTGCTCAACTAAAAGATCGGCAGCCCATCCAGCGCCCCGTAACAATCGAACCCGTAATAGAATCACATTCGTTCTTATTACCCACCGAGGTCAGCCAGCCGAACCCTTGCGCCCCTCACCATCCACCTCCTACACTCTGCTTTCTTTCCATTTTTTTTCTCTCTTTTATTCTCATTTTTTCTCTCTCTCTCTCTCTCTCTCTCTCTTCTCTTCTCTTCTCTCTCTCTCTCTGTGTGTGTGTGTGTGTAGCCCTTATTGTAGCTCCGGCACTCTTTGGCTACCCTTTTTTACCGATTATTCATTACATATCGACGTTCTTTCGGATGCTCTTAATCGACCTTTGGTAGCTTCATTATCTCTACAACTATAAAACTATTCCGTCATTTTGTTTTTATACGTATTACCAGTTAGCCAGCTCGAGTCACTTCACTTTTTATCAAGGCCTGTCAATTTTCATACAATTATTATAACCTTTTACCACGTTGTTATAACGTGCTCGACATTTTTACCGCTGATTTATAAAATTAAGAGCCCAATTTCTTTCAGCTTTCTACTTTCCTTGATTCATACTCCATCGCGATTGCTAAGAACGCTACTGCATTTTTTTTATTACGCAACAATTATTGATTTTCAATCTGTTTTTACCATCGAGAGTTCACTGTCGCTCGTTTAATAAAAACGTTATTAAACGTAAATGACGTTATCGCCGTATCATCGCCGTATCATCGAAACTCAATGCTGAGTAATGACCATGGATTCCCCATTTATTTGCATTAAAATCTTTGCAATGGCCTCTTTGATACGCGATCAATTAAGCGTTACTCGCTATTTAGTTAAAATGCTTTTATGCCACCCTCATCGTCCTCTCAATATTTATTTATCTAAGCAATTACTTTTTTGCTCCAACTCTATTCCCCTTACACTGCTCCTCGATCTCCCTCATTCCGGCTTTTTTTAACTGAGGAATCGAGAGTCCCTCCTTAAGCCTCTTCGCGGGCAAAAGCTAGCAACTCGCGTCCACTATTCTCGGTAAGGTCTTATGTCGCGTTCCGTCGTCTTTTCGCTCTTATATGTCCTTTGCACCGACAGCTTTTTTCCGCGTTTCACTCCGCCAATCCTCGATCTCCACCTCCGCGTCTCTGTATTTAAGCGATGGCACGAGATAGCGACGGACGGTACACGGTACGACGGCTCCAGCTTATTTTTTTCTCCTTTTTCTTTTTTATTCCTTATTTATTTATTTATTTATTTATTTATTTATTTATTTATTTTTATCGTTTGTTTTGATGTATATTTTACTCGAACGTGGGAGCACGCTATTTAAAGAATTTCACAAATACTTTTCCAAAGATATTGGGCGGCACACAGCGGACAATCATAATAATCGATTAAAGCCGTGCGATGCCGACAAAATATCACGTCTTAGCTTCATAAAGAGTTCAAATTCAAATAAAATTGTTCAGAACAATTGCTCGTCGAATAGCTATGAAATTGAAGCTTTGCCGATTATAGTCATTCTTCGATGCCCAATAAAAGAATTGCGAATACGTTCAAGAATTTATCATGACATTATGGGCTCGGCATGCTAAGCTATCCAGTAGATTTGTTCTCTCGTATCGGAAAAGCTCGTCGAATGAAACGGTGAAGTTGAAAGTCGAAGATGAAAAGAGCGCGTTGCTTGTAAAAGGCGACAAACCGACCTATCGACGTTGGCCAACTTGATGCCTTAATTATGTCGTCGTTTCAATGGTCATTCGAGGCGAAAGGGTTCCAGGACATGGTCGCCTACTCTTGACTTTTTCCCTTATACATTCGCCTCGCACGAACTTGGCCACGAAAGTACGAAAAAACCGGGAGCGAAAACCAGTAGATCCGCGAACGAAGGGACAAGAAATCCACCTATATAAAGCATCCCATGCTAAATTAACGTTCAAAAATTTAAGTGACTGAAATTCGTAAAGTTAAAGTATTTGCGGGCGGGCATGAAAAATGAACTTTTACTTTAATTGGGCTTTCGAAAGAGAGGTTTAATCAACGCCATCTAAACGCTAAAGCTAAAATCTCAATGAATAAACATTAAAGTTGTGAGCGGTGCAATTTATATTAAGACATAAATATCAAGAAAAGTTGCCGAATGTTGGCGATGTTGTAGTTACGAGAAAGAGAATACATAAAAACAATGACCGCCTAATGACAGCGACTCGTTGAGCAAAGTACCGCTCGCGCGTTCTCACCTTAAGAGCGTCCAGGAGGCGCTGACGAAAATTCTTTAATTCCCCATTTTAACGTGGAACACCCTATATTTACATACCCAGCTGCGCAGTTCTTTGCCAGCCGAAGTCTTTAAAATATGCTAATTTCGACGAATTAAATTATTAAGATACTCGCTGGGCGAGCGCGACGGCCATGGAGCTCCATCTCGTAAGGTGCGCACGCAAAATTGTAAGGAAGGAAGGAGGAAGAGTCGAAGAGGGCCCAGTCTTTAATTTGTCCTCGAGTTCGCAGGATCGTCGCGCGAGGATTACTTTAATCGACGTAATTTCATTCAAATTACCGATACCCGTTTTCATTTCTGGCTGTGGTGGCTCCCTCTCCTTCTTCTCCCCCCCCCCCCCCTCTCTCTCTCTCTCTCTCGCTATCCCGCCCTTCACCTCCCTCGCAATGCCCCGCCCCGATCAACCGCTTCTTTCTTCTTTATTTTCGTTTGCGAGATTTCATGGACAAAAGTTAACGAGGTAGCATACGTACGCGGGGAAAAAATTTATAATTTGTCAAGTATCGCATGGGACTTTTTCAGGATTTTTTTTGTTAGTTTTTTTGTTTTGTTTTGTTTTTTTTTAACCGATTCAATACGTTTCTAAGCTTAAGTGAATATTCTTCAGATTGATGGATCTCGAGTCTTTCGGGTTGATAATAACATTTCGAAAAATATTATTATCGTAAATAATCAATGATACACCACTTAAATATAATTCGCTAGATGCAATCAAATGACATACACAAATGATGCCTACGTGATTTTTCTTGATAAATTATTATT